AAAAAAATAGTATTATTAGTAAGAAAAAAATTAAATAAATGCATGATAATGAATAAAACATTGTAAGCATTATATAAAATAAGAAACAAATAATTTAATTTCTGTCGATAATTGAAAGAATTTTTATCGATAATACCTAAGGATAAATACCTATGAACTTGTATGATGTTGAAAAGCATCTCTAATTTCTGTGTCAAATTACAAATTCACTTCAGAGAAATATTATAAAAATATTAATTTTGAATTAAGTTCGTATTCTTTTAACACGTCAAGAAGTCTGATAAACATTGTAATGTATTACACAACGTACTGCTAACTTTAACTGTAATAAAAGCTTGATAATTGTTAATATATATGTATGATTCCTATTTTTGTTATCAAATTTAAAATTTATGCGTGACATCGAAAATAAATTGCGAATCGATACTGTGACATGTGAGTAAAAATGAAAACTTCTTGAAAAATAGTTTTTAAAACTTTTATAATTAACCGCATTGTTTATCAAGAAATGTACTTGTAAATTGTTAGTAACTAAAAATAAGCCATGTTAAAATTGTGTAGCGATAGAAAAATTCTTGTTGATGTCTTCAATTCATGTATTCGACAATTATATGCAAAAGAGTAAGTTTCTAAGTGTCATCAATGAAAAAGTTTAGCAACAAATATAATACGAAAATATAAAAATATAAAGAATCTTTTTTGAGAGTTAAACTTCGTAAGGGAACGTGTAAACCAAAAATATTTCCTATCAAATTTCTGGCTACTTCCTGCGAGGATAAAACGCCTAAAGAATTTTGCATTGATAAACCGATGAAATGGCCAAGTGGTAATCGAGCCAATTTTAAGTTTCACGGAGAAACTGAAGCTATATTAAACGAGCAAATAAATACGGAACTAAAAGCTTTCTACTATTATCTGTCCATGGTAAGACAAGAAATAAATATATTTATATTGTCTTACCTTGTCTTAGTTAAATATATTTAAATAAATATTATTTTTAATAGTGTAATCCCAAGTCAGTTATTTTCTGTAGGCTGCATATTTCGGACGTGCTGACGTAGCGTTGCCTGGATGTGAATCATTTTTCATTCAAATGCATCACGAAGAACATGAACATGCTATCAGGTTCCTAAATTATATCAAAATGCGCGGAGGCCTTGTAAATTTGTATCCAGTACAACCTCCTATTGATCAAGACTGGAAATGTCCATTACATGCTTTCAAAGTAAATAATTCAAGAAGTAAATTAATTATTCTGCTAGTGATATGCAACTTTTAGAACATGGTTACTATGTTTATTTAGACGGCATTGGATTTAGAGATGGAGGTAGCCGAGAAGCTAGTAGCAGTAAATACTGTGGCAGAGAAACATGGCGATTTAAATGCAAGCGATTTTATTATTACGGGTTTTATGGAAGATCAGATGAAAAGCGTGAATGAAATGGGAAGATTTGTAGCTGTTCTCTCAGGGATTGGTGATCAATCGTTGGCTCGTTTTATATTTGATAAAGATTTACTTCAACACTACGTCCAACCGAAATTTAACATCCTTCGTTTAAAACTACGACCAAACGAAACTGACGAATAGTATTTTCCATTGCTTTATGTCGTAAAATATAATACGCGATGTATGTATTATATTTACATGTTTTAAATAATAATATATATAAATGTCATTTAAATCACAATAAAAAAATTGATTACGATTCAAATTTATTAAATTTCTTAAAAAGAGTGGAATAATTAATGAAAGTTTACATTGGTAATGTAGATTCATTCGAAAATCAATTACTTTGTAGAATTATATAAAATGTAACTGTTCATACAATTTTAGAACACACCAAATATCTATGAATATCAGCCGTTTAATGTCATATGTTGGAAATGATCAGTATGGCGGAACTATTGCATACATCTAATTGTGAAGATAAAGCTACTATAAAAACGGACATTCTGGTGACTAAGTTGTTTCTCTGATCCTAAATTAAATACAATATTGAAGTTTATTTAAATTTTTTATTCATTTTGTTAGCGAATTTTAATTGTGGGATTATTTACGATAAGGTGTCGTGCGTGTGCTAGGTTTAGTTCGATAAAAAAAATCACAATTATTCCTA